GAAACTCCCTATATAAGGTTGCCGTGAGACAAGAGCCGGTGCGGGATCAACTTGTTTGCAGTCTTGCTGACTGCCCCACCAGTTGCCTGACCTGTTAGCAATTCTTGGAGTCTTGTAACCTGACCCTTGGACTGCTTTTGGATTTTGCCACTGGAACATGTTATCTGACCCTGGACTTTGACTTTGGGTTGTTTCTCTAAAATCACTGCTGTGAGATCCTGTTATTGCCAGGACAGTCAGATACCAGTAAACCACAGTTTACCATCACACCTGAACAGTCATTTTTGAGGAGAAATAAATATTTTTGTATGTTTCCAAAATCCCAGCAACACCAACTGGTAACAAATGGCCCCTGTTCTTCAGTTACTGCCCAAGACCTTCTTTTATAGAGAAACTGGCAACTTCATCTGTCTATAGACAGCTTCTCGTAGTTCCATCCTAAGCAGAGTTACACTCTTCTAAGTCCAATGAAGTCAATGGGCCTAGAAGAAGGCTTGTCTTTCAGACAAGCACAAGCATACAGGAACTCACTACAGAACCAATACAGAGAGACTTTGTTATCAAAAAAAAAATTGATATAAATCTACTGCAGCCTTTTAATCCAGTAGTAAGGCCATCTAAACTGTTAAAAAGGCAAATTCCATACTAGGGATCATCAGGAAAGGGACTAAGAATAAAACTGACAGTGCAGTAATGTCTTTAATAATGATCCCCCTGTTCACTGTTCTGGCTACTGCATCTCAAACAGGATACTGAAAGATTAGCAGTGGTACTTTTCCATCACGATGATGAGAGTTGAAGGTTACATAACTGGTTATTCTTTTAGTTAGTTCCTGGTATCTGTATGGCATAAAAACATACAAGTAGCTATCTAGTCATCACCCTATTTCCAATATTAACCAGTCAGAGGTCACAGGGAAGCCCGCTCCACCCTCTCCCTGTTGAGTGCTCCCCAGCTTCTAATATCCGAAGGCACTCTGCCTCTGGATTCCCTTTCATGGCTAGTAGTCAATGATAGACCTGTCTTCTATAAAATCCATCTAAGCCAGTGGCCTTTGCCTCATGTTGTGGCAGTGAGCCAGAAGTTAACTGCCCATTGTGTGAAGTAGTACACATGATTTTGTATACCTCTGTCACTTTACCTTGGAGTTGCCTTTCCCCCAAAAGAACAAACAAACAAACCTCCAGATGTTTACGCCTTGCCTTATGGAGCAAATGCTCCAACGCTGCAATTATTTTGTTTGTGCTAAAATTCCAGGAACACAGGGCTCTCTATCTTACTGCTGTTAACTATTGAGTATATTTCGCGGTGGTGGCGGCTCCAAAGGCCTGGTGGAATTCCGTTTTACCGGCCCTGCGGAACTGTAAGAGGTCCCGCAGGGCCCTGATCTCTACTGGGAGCTCATTCCACCAGAATGGAGCCACCACTGAAAAAGCCCTGGCCCTGGTTGTCACCAGCCTGGCCTCCTTACAGCTCAGGAGACCCTCCCATTAGAAGGGCTATACATTCTCTTTATTTTATATCTTATTTTGAATAGCAGATTGGAATAGTAGATTGTAATGTAATGTAATGAATAGCAGAATGTAATGTCATTTGGAATGGTAGATTGCAATGTATTTCTCTGGTCTGGAACAGTCAAGTGCTCCATTTCAAAGAAGAGGCCACTGTAAGGTCACCTCCACACTTGAGAGATGGATGGAGCATAATGGGAGGGTCTCAGTTAATTACTCTCAGCATTCCACAATTAAGAAGAGTACATCTGCCCATCATTCTTCAATTTTGATGTATTTATCCCCCCCCCCGAAATTAAACCCAAACAAATGATAAGCATATAAACTCAGCTTGTTGTTCCTGTTTGGTCTTTGAATCTGTTAAACATCTTCATTATGTTGTATGCTAATCTACTGCTTACCCCCTACCTATATGTATGGACTGGTAACATTTCATTGTATCTGAAGAAGTCTGCATGCACATGAAAGCTGATACCTTGAATAAAACTTTATTGATCATAAAGGTGCCACTGGACTCAGACTTCGTTCTGCAGCATGTTTAATGTTGACTAGCACCGGTGCAGATGTAAGTGGATGTAAATTTCCCCTAACTTTTAGCCATTTGATCCTAATGTAGAATCAAAATTACTGAGGAAAAACAACCCTGATATGTTGAAGCGCCTTCTGAAGCAAAATTTGAAATTTCTATGGTGAAGTTGAAGACTTCCTGGTTTGAGAAATCTTCAGTCTCAATTGCGTACACAGTTATGCAATTATGTTGCATAACTGGTGGCGGCTACAAGCATGGACGGCTTCAAAAGGGAATTAGATAAGCATATGGAGCAGAGGTCCATCAGTGGCTATTAGCCACAAGGTATAGATAGGGGCTCTGGGGCAAGTGATGCTCTGTCTTCTTGGTGCTTGGGGGGGGGTCAACAGTGGGAGGGCTTCTAATGTCCTGGCCCCACTGGTGGACCTCCTGATGGCACTGGTATTTCTGGCCACTGTGTGACACAGAGTGTGGGACTGGATGGGCCTTTGGCCTGATCCAACATTGGCGTCTCTTATGTTCTTATCAGCTTCAAAAGGGAATTAGGTAAACATATGGAGCTGAGGTCCATCAGTTGCTATAGCCACAAGGTATAGATAGGAACTCTCAGTCTGGGGCAAATGATGCACTGTATTCTTGGTGCTTGGGGGGGGGGCAACAGTGGGAGGGCTTCTAGTGTCCTAGCCCCACTGCTGGACCTCCTGATGGCACCTGATATTTTTGGCCACTGTGTGACAGAGTGTTGGACTTGAAGAGCCTTTGGCCTGATCCGACATTGGCTTCTCTTATGTTCTTATGTAAGGAGGGAGAAGGGAAGAAGGAGGGAGTGTGTGAACTGTACAATAAATCAGTAGAAATATAAATGTATTTGTATTTAGCCATAAGCAATGTTCCCTCTAAGCAGTGGAGTCTTGTGAGCTAAACCAAACCAAAACAATAAATCAGCTTCTTGTCAAGAACACAGTCTGTTCAAGATATCTGAGTGCAGCCTTCAATTAGGAAACAGTGCCTCACCAATGAGCCATAAACACTAAAGCCTGACCTGAGAAAGGAGGAGGGAATTCACACCAAAGAGAAGAGGAGGAGGAAGGTGACCCTGAACTATGGCCTGCTCCCAATTAAGTATAATTTAGAGTGAGGCACTGCATAAGGTCTTCTCTTAATATGTAAAAAGTGTTGTGTAAAAAAGTATTTCCTTTTGTCCATCCTAAAAATATTGTATCTTGGAAAGAGCCATTGTGCCGCAGATAGATCACATAGTCTATTGTCAACTCCTTATAACCCCCAAGTGACACAGAGGCACCTATGGAGTGATGCATGCAACCATTTTTTACAACTAACATTGCTTATTCTTTAGCTAAAAGTACAGTTCATATTCACCATAAATAAATACAAAAACTGATTCCTTACTTGATCTTTGGTTTTTGATGAAAAATAGCTTTAGCCTCTCCTTAAATGTATTGTCATTCATGTAGAATTCAACTTGTACCCTAAAAAGTTAAAACACAAGTATTAGACAAATCTTAGCATATTAGGTCACAAAACCACATAATGCACACATTTACTTTCAGCATCTGTGCAATATAAAACAACAAATGCAGATAATGAAATAATATCCACGTTTATTTGCATATTATTCCGATAGGTAATAATCTAATGGAAATTTGGATTGCCAACGGGCAACTTATCTGATCCTGGAAACTCCACGTACACTCTCTGCCTCTTGGGATTTTAACAAACACAGAGCTGGGTGATGACTTTGGCTGCCTTGATGGCAGTGGATTGGCCTGTCACCAGGTAACTAAAAGGTTGCCAGGGACTAACAAAAGAACATTAATGTTACCTGATGGGTTTCTCCCTCCTGCCTGCCTTTGGAAGGTGATACCCTTCAGTAAGTGGGAGAAGCAGAGAATTTGATTGCAAGCAGAGAACTGAGAAGTGTCATCTTGAGTTTAGCTAGACTGGAAGCAGCCTAAAGACTGACTACATTTTCAGGATTTCATGGGGACATCAGATACTGACGGCATAAGATGAACTGACATTCTCTCTGCCTCAAGTGTGCTGGCAGATGTTATGGAAAAGGCTTGGTTACACATGGCACAGGGTTATCACACTCAATGAAATGGAGGCCCTGCAGATTTGTATGCCCTCCAGTAACCACAATTATGGCATTTAGGGCCGAACTACATATTGCCATGTATACAAGTTCACCATGGGGACTTGCAACCATACTGAAGCTGTGAGTTCCCAATGGAAGCTCCATTTAAAAAGCACTATGCAGGCCATATTTGGATTAGGGCCGCTCCTGTCTCCCTCCCCATGCAGTTTTCCCAAGCTGCAATGGTTCCACAGGGGCATTATTAGCCATTTTCAGAGTCTGCCCATGTAAGCATTCAGTGCATGTGGAGCTCCTCCAAGGCAAATAACACCCCGGCACAATTTTTGGCTTGGAAACACAGTGCTGAAGAGACAGGAGCCCCTCCTCACACTACATTGCAGTCCCAATCTGGATCAGCACCCGGTGAAACTTTTAAATAGAGATCTGCAGCTGCAATATGGCTGCAAGTCCCTGTAGCAAACTTGTGTAGTTTGGCCCTTAGTTTCACCACTTCAAGTTCTGTTTCAGTGATGAAGCAATAGTATACAAATAGGAAATGAAAACATGAATTTTCTAAGCTGACTTGCTTCTAGAGCTAGGAATGAATACGTGAATGACAAAATTAGCCCACCAAGTGGTTCCAATAAAATAAACAATTAATCTGTGTTCTTGAGAGTGGAAAAGTTGGGCCAATATGATTTATTTCTATGGGTTTGGCTAAATGCTTTGCTTTATTTTAAACAACATGGGTTTTTTTCCTGCAAATTTAGCTGTAACAATTGCTTTATCACAGAGGAGCAATAGCATAAGGAAAGAGATGTTAACACATTCCTGCCCAGCCATTCATTCAGCAGAAAAAGCCACACTGGTCTACTTTAAACACTGCTGGAACTAAAAATAACTCAGATGGTGGCTTCTTCCATTGCAAAAATTGCAAGGGCAGAAGGTTTGAAACTCCTCCTTCACTGTACTTCATCTTGATAAAGCAATCTTGGAAGCTGCATTTGGAGAAGAAAAACAAGCCTTTAAAATAAACGAAAGATATTTTAACCAGTGTTCCCTCTAAGCTGAGTTAGTGTGAGCTAGCTCACAGTTTTTAGCCTCCGGCTCACACATTCTTTGTCTCTGCTCACGAAGGAGGGCTCCAGAGCAAACTGATTTATGCAGTAATCCACTTGCTCACAACTTTAATGCCAGTAGCTCAGAAAGTAGAATTTTTGCTCACAGGACTCCATAGCTTAGAGGGAACATTGATTGTAACATAACATTGAAGCTTATAACCCAAGTGTTTTACCAGAAACTGCCTCTGCATGGAAACATTTCCCTATAAAAAACAACTGTATAAACTGATCCTTAGTGGAACTAATATAGTAGCACTTTAAATCCTTTCTTTTTTTGATGTCATGTCATGTTCCATCTCAAGATTTTACTTTTCAAGGGCATTTTTAGACAGATGAATAAAAGTGGAGGCTTTCACAGATCTGGGTAATTTAACTTGAAAGAAAATAAATGTTACCACTTTATTCACACAGTTTGAACTTGCATATCTATGTTGTCAAGAGGAAAATGACAGTGGTCATGTGACCTGAAAGAACAGGATGTTAACAGTCAGAGGTGAGGTAATGCTAATAAGGTGAGCAAGTGGCAGGGCTAATCACTTTCTTCTGAACTCCCATTATGAGTGGTTTCTGTAGCCTGAAATTGCCCTTATTCTATTTCCCTTTGCTTAGCAACCTTGCCTGTCAAGCAGATTGCCATTCCATGGTTTCCATGACAAGAAAAATAAATATATTCCAAAAGAGCATTTCATTATATTAACGCTACAGCACCCTTTCAGACTCCAATGACAACGTGTCAGGTGCCCTGGTTCACGAACAAAAATGGTTCTGCACTCAATAGCAGGAGTCAAGGAGTGATACCTGTAGTAGAAAGGGTAGCTAGCAGATACCTGGAGATACACAGGAATAGTTGATACAGGGTTCTATATTACCTCAGTGGCACAAGAACTGTAGCATTCTACTTTGCTGTTTCATTTTGCTTACCCCTAGTTATGGTGACTGGCCTAGTTCTGGTATTGTTTGTTTATGTGTTTTTACTTAATTATTTTATAATTTTAAATGTTTTTAGTGGTTCGAATGTTTTACTGTTTTTATGTACACCACTTTAGGGACCCTTAAAGGGTGGGAAGGCTTCATAAAAATGCTTTGAATAAATAAAATAGGTATAAATTGACTGGGCAGCAACATGACAAATAAATTGAACACAGGAAAGTCTAAGGTGATGCACAATGCAACAAAACATCTTGACTTTAAATATATGCTGATGGGGTCTGAACTGGCTGAGCCTAAGAAGGAAAGGGATCTTGGGGACTGGTCAATGAAAATGTTGACTTAGGGTACAGTCAGACATGCTATTTGCTCCACTGTCATTGCTGGAGCCCTTCAGATCTAAAGTGCACATTCAGACATCCACATCTGTATCCTGTTCCCCAGTTGTCGGCCTCCCATACTCACCACTCTCCTGACACATTCTTTTCAGAAACTGGGAAAGTCCAAGGCTTACAGATTCCCAGTGCTGCTCCAGATGTCTGCACAATAAGCTGCTACAGAAGGGAACCATCCCTTCCATTTCAGCGTAATTTTTGCTTCCACTTAGCGATATGCACATAACTGCATAAATGCCCCTGAGATTTAAATCAATGCCTGTACGCTCCTGCTCCACAGAAGTGTTTTGGGATCTGGTACCCCCATCAGGGTTGGTTGCCAGTGGGAAACTCAAGAAACACTATCCTTTCTCTTGTTTCTGGGGGTTGGGCAGCTTTGAAAATAGTACCTAGTCAGGCTTGCATTTCAGGGGCCATTTTCCTCATCTGGAACTAGGGTCAAAGTCACATGACAGTGTTAATCTGGCAGGATGCTCTGGATGGTCACCCATGGAGTAAGCGTGCAGTGAAGCAGGTAATAGGGGAGAAGTCTGAATGCTTCTCTCTGGAGCACACAAAAAAAGCTCAGAAAGCACACCATCTGACTGCACCCTAATTTCGTGGCAGCAGTGAGAAAGGCAGACTCTGTACTGAGGTTTATTAGGAAAAGGATTGAAAATAAAATGGCCAATATTGTAATGCACTAGTATAGATGTATGGCAAGTATGGCAATACTGCAGACAGTTTTGACATCTGTGCTTGTTTGTTTGTTTTTAATATTACAGAGCTGTGGAAAGTGTAAAACAGGGGGACCAAAATGTTTTTATGGGGTTGGAGCATGTTTCTTATGAGAAAAAGTTAAAGAGTCTGGGATTTTCCAGTTTAGAAAAAAGACAACTGGTGGGAGCATAATTGTGCTGGATAAAGCGGACAAAGTAAACATTTTCTCCCTCTCCCATAATAACAGAACTCAGGGGCACCCACTGAAGTTGATAAGCAATAGATTCAAGATGGATTATTTACTCAATGAGTAATTAAATTCTGGAATTCACATCCACAAGCACAGATGGATTAAAAAGGGGGACTGGATAGATTCATGGGGGTTGGGTCCATCAATAGCTGCTAGCTATGGTGATCAAACAGAACCACTGTATTCAGAGGCAGTCAGTTTCCACACACCACTGTCAGAGACAACATCAAGAGGTAGGTAGTCAAACGGACCTCTGTGTTGGCCCGCCAAGGCAACTGATTGGCCACTAAAGGAAGCAAGACTGTGTATGACTAGATTGATTACTAGGCTGATCCAGCAGAGCTGTTCTTATGTTCTTAGGTTAGATTTCCCAAAGGAATAATGTCATGAGTTTACAATATAGGCAAAAGAATATTATCCACACCTAGCACAATATGAAAACATTGCTATTCTTAGCTTATGCAACACCCAAAAATTCAGAAAGATTTCCTTGCCAAGTCCTGTAATCATAATAAAAAAACAGACACACATCATCTCAAAATCAAGAGAGCCATGTTGCTTGAAAAATGAAGGATTTACATATTCAAAATGATTAGCTTCAAACAAAGGTGCAAGGAGCCAAACATAATTGGGTATCAGCCAGACAAACACAACCAGGAATCAATGAGAACATAATCCATAAAACTTCAACCAAGCTTTCCAAGATCCAGAGCTGAACTGACAGATACATCGTCTGTCAACACTTCATTCATCAATCAACCTAACCTGCCACCAACGTCTAGACCCAAAATATGTTAGCACATTTCACAACGAATAACCCTGTTAAAAATCCTTTAAAAACACATCTATTCATGATCTCCTATCAGCCTCCAAAAAGAGAAGCTCAATTTTAATTTGCTTTTTTAATGCAACCTACAAGGATATGATCCCAGACTTCCTTCCCTTGAAGCTGAAATTCTTTCTGGGCACAAAGGTGGAGCAGTTACATAAGGACCAACTG